TTTTTTTTTTTAATACTGTTACTATTGTTATGGTTATTATCTTGTTTTTCTATAAGCATTATACTTGTAATTTTTCTGTAATGTCTGAAACTGGTTCTAATAAAAACACTTTGAAAAAAAAAAAAAAACTCATCTGTCTTGGCTTTCAGTTTGATGAGCCTCTCTTTCTCAATGGATATCAGTGCCAGAGATGCAAGATTTTTCATGTTTGGCTATGGCACAGGGCAAGGTGTTCAAATCACAATATCCAGCAGTAGTCCCAACCTTGTCAGTGCTGCCAAACAGCAAACATGGAAAGCAGAACAGCCGGTTCAGTGTAACACTTCCACAGAGCCAATCCCTCCTTTTGTACCTTTGACTTTGAAAAGTATGAACAACTTTCTCTCTCGTCCTTTGCTGAAGCTCAGGTGTTGGTCTCCCATCATTCAAAAGTTGACATTTTTCTTCAAGCCCGCCGATAGGGTGGACAAACAGGTCTGTTGTCCCGGGCCCAGAGTGGGGGTAGGGGCCCAGAACTGGACCCTCATTGAATTATGGATTTTTTTCCCCAAAGAAGGGCTATTAATGAAAAGAAACAGTGCAATATTTGAGTTAGAAGTTTAAATTTGTTTTCGTCTGAACTGTCCTTAATATCTTTGGAACTGCCCTCCACCCCCACCTCCAACATAAAATGGTTTGGCCTCTGATCAAAATTTGATGTCCTGTTGTTGGAAGTTCGGATTTTGCACTTCAGCACCAAAATGTCCGCTCAGCAGAAGTCAGGTGCTCATCTAGTATCATCTTGTCCCGGGTCCAGGGAAGGCTGTCGGCTGGCCTGTTTTTCTTCAGAAGAAAGACATGAAAATTGTTTTAACCTCTCTAGTGGTGTCATTCTGCCGGTGAGTTGAGTGAGCTTGAGAGCAAAGCATCAATTCACTAATTCTCTGTGAATGTACATAGAGCATTGACACAGCACAGTAACGTAAAAAAGGCAGTGTAGCAATCTGCCTTTTTACGTACATGATTTTTCTATGGGGAACCTACTGCGCATGTGCGAACACATCGTTGCGATGATATGGCAGAGCAGCACTGCGCCTTCAGGAGAGGGTCGGCCTTCACCATAATACAGTGCAAGGGTGAGTTAGAGTTACTCTACTTGGCGAGGAGGAGGCAGTGTTGAGTCATGTTCATTGGGCTATGAAAAGCAATAAATGCTATCACTTTCAAACCAATATGTACTACAGGCTATTGGAAATTATATTTAGAAAAATTATAAAACAAACAAAAAATTGATGTTGTAAAAAACATTAAAAATTAATTATTAAAATGGGGGCTGCAAGGTGACGCAGTTGGTAGCACTGTTGCCTTGCAGCAAGAAGGTTGCTGGTTTGCGTCCCGGAAGGGGCACCAGGATCTTTCTGCGTAGAGTTTGTATGTTCTCCCTGTGCAGCGTGGGTTCTCTCCAGGTTCTCTGGCTTCCTCCCACACAGTCCAAAAACATGTTGAGGTTAATTGGTAATTCCAAATTGTCCTTAGGTGTGAATGTGAGTGTGCTTGGTTGTCTCTAAGTGTAGCCCTGTCATAGACTGCCGACCTGTCCAGGGTGTCCCCTGCCTTTGCCCTAAGTCAGTTGGGATAGGTTCCAGCCCCCCCCCCGCGACCCTAGTGAGGATTAAGCAGTGTATAGATAATGGATGGAATTATTACAATGGAATGATTTCATTTTTTCCTTTCAGCCTTGGGTAGGCAGTGCCTACCCTGGCTGCACGTCACTGGAGGTTGCACAGTCAGCGACAGTAACGTAGGTTACTTCTTTTATATGTAACATTGTCCAGATGTGGATAAGACTTACCTGTAGAGTTTAACTCGACTTTTGGTGTTAACGTTATTCGCAGTAGCGTCAGTAAAGACAGCAGAAGCCAGTAAAGGTGGGTGAGCAGAGTGTCTTTAGCTCGCAGTCAGTCTGACTAATCACGTCTCTTCAGCTCTGCCCTTTACCTGCTAATGAGATTATCTCCAGGCAGGTTCTCGCATATTGGGAGAAACAGAATTTGGTACTTCTCTGCTGGCCAGAGGAGAGACAACAATCGGTGTCCTGTGGCTTTGATTCCATTCTGCCATGTGGGAAGTTCATGTGTCAGGTTACATAAGGTGACTGGAGTAGCGGTGTGACCATTTACCTTTCACAGTAAAGTCAGTTTAAATCACAATTTTTGTGTTGGGAGCGCCGTGGTAACTTTAATGGCCCTGAGTCTGCATATCAACAAACGACAGCTCAGAGCACTTTTGCCAGCAGTTTTTCGTTTATTGAGAGACTGAGACATCTGCAACTGATTTAGACCATTTGCGCCTCAAAGTTTTGTTGTTCATGTCAGCACAGCTGCTTTTGTTTTGTCAGGAGATGTGGCACTAATAAAATTACTTAATCTGTGGCATTCCACCGTGGTTATAAAGAGGAAACATAATTAGTTCTCTATACAATTACAAAAATCAATTTTACTGATAAAACAAAGTCAGTAACAAATTGGAACATCAACATGTAATTTGAGTCAGCGGTTACAGAATATAGGTATGTGTAAACATTTGCAAGTGAATTTTAGAATTCTGACACAAGTCCGATGACAGAAACCAGCTTAGTTGAACCAGCCTGCTGACAGTAATGCATATTTTTGAAATAAAGGTCTTTTTACTTTTCACAACAATGCATGATCATAGTATCTCAACGGTTTCGAGGAAAGACTCCCCATTATTAGCTGAAACCATCACATTTTCATTTTGCTTTTCTTCCTCAAGCAGCAGTCAGTTCACTAATCAATCCGTGCTGCTGACTGATTCTGAAATCAGATGCCATGTTAACATTTTGATTGTTTTATTCGTTTTCTTAAAAAGGAAACACAAAGGTGACACTAAAAAACATTAATTAACGTTGGTAACCTCTGAAACACAGACAAAACAGGATGTTTGATCTCTCATAGCTCCAAACTTTTAAATGCTGGCCAGCATAATCAACAAACAACAAGAAATGAGAAAAAACATTGCAGGAATAAAAAACGAGAGTGGATTTTCCAGTTAGGAGGCCAAGCAAAGGTTAATGGTATTTTAATGGCTAATTAGATGTCAATCAAGTAAAGAAAAGAAAACAGTCAGAGGTGAGCATTTCTGGAGGTACAATGTCGGGGTGATCAGGTGCAGTAAAAATGTCCGGTGTCATCTCTGCGTCTTTTGCGACTTTGTTGCTCAAAGAACTGACGGATGTCATCAGAAGTCACAACCTATCACAGAACAGACAGATAAGATAAGATAAAACTTTATTCATCCCTTTGGTAGGGTACCTTAGGGAAATTATGTTTACAGTTACATCCCGTCCAACAGACAGCCACATTACATGAGGAGTCATGGCCTATCAGAGAACAGATATTCCGAAAGATGTCTGACTTCCTACTGGCAGATTGCTGCAGTGCAATCCCCGACCTCCAGTAGCAGCATCCACAAAAATAGGCTTTGAACATGACACACTCATATTCATGACCCTCTACGGGAGAGACGAAGGTCATGTTACGAGTAAAACTTGCCTTTCCTTCAGCTGCAAATCTCTGCAGAAAGTCCTTCAGTTCTGCTTTCATGTCGTTGTATCCTGAAAGAAACACACATACACCAGCAACAGAGCGACATGTCAGCATGGGAGCTGTAGTTCTGTCGGACTTGTAGTTCGCTTTGAGGAACATTTAAGTCTTCTTGTGAGACATTTAGTGTTTTTTTAACAGCCATTTAGTTCTCTCTGTGAGACATTAATTACTGTAAATGGGAACTCTAGTTTAATGTAATTTCATGTACCATAAGAAATTAAATTGGTTCACGCTGTAGTTTTGTGTGTAGTACATGGTGCAATGTACCATGGATGATCTCAAGCTGCTGTACTCTGTTCAGGTTGTCCAATGCTGACATCAGAGGGTCGTGTCCTTGCTGTCTCTGTTCATTGTTTTTTCCTTTGTTTTCGTAGGTGAGGACAGTGTCTGACTCATCCAACAGGAAGGATAGATCGGCCTCAGATAGACGCTTCTGAGGGGACAGATGAGTTACAGCCAGGTGGTCGAGTCAAAATAAAGACTAACTAAAAGCTACAATGCTAATAGAAAGGTATTCAATTAAAAATACACACACACCTACATGCACACACACACCTACACACCTACACACACACACACAGCTTAACAAATTTATTAGACCACTTGTGATGAAAAAGGAGAAAATAAATATTTTGGAAATCTTTCAAAAAGTTCTTTAAAACTAAAAATGTTATTGCTATTTATTTGGCAGATAACAAACTGAAACAACTAAATAGTCCTTTTTCACACACAATAACCAAAAAACTTAATATTTTAATATTTTGTATGGCCTCCTTTGGCCTTGATAATAGCTTGCATTCTTGCTGGCATTGTTTTCATGAACTTTTCAACGGTCTGTTGTTGAGGTCCAGATAGTTTCTAGGTGTTCCCACAGACTTGCTTTAAATGAAACTTTTGTGCAATCAATCTTTGAGTGTACTGTATCCCAAATTTGTTCAATAGGATTCAAATCCAGACTTTGACTTGGCCAGTCCATCAGTCCCAGTACTTCGTTGATGTGCCCATGTCGTTTCCACAAATGGAACCCCATACCATAATGGAATCTCCACCTCAATCCAATTGAGAGTTTGTGGCTGGATTTGAAAAGGGCTTTGCATTCTTGATCTTCATGTTGCCTGGCAGAGCTTGAGCAGTTTTGAAATGTTTCACTTTGACATGACGGAGTCTTCATTAAATTGACCATGATTCAATGTCAGAAAGAAATTAAATGGAACCATTTCCAAATACTTTTCATAGGCACTGAAATTAAATGTGAGCCATTGTTTATGAAGGGATCATTCAGGGAAAGACTTGTTTTGGAAAGAATTACTAAACATTTGAGTGTGTCACAGATGTCATAGAAACTACACACCTAACCCATGACCTCACAGTTCCTCAGTCACTAGTAAATCAGGTGTATGTTACCTGGCAGGTGTTGCAGGAGCAAAGCTTGGAGCGCCATGCTGATGGCCAAAACACAGCGCCTGATTGGACTCTTTTCTGACCAATCGCCTGTAGCTGCCTTAGTGTACAGCTTGGCTCCTCCTCCGCACGGCTACGCTTAGAGCTGGGCTCTATCACATCATCAACCTAACAGAGAGATTTTTGATAATTATTCAGTCACACTGATCGATAAAAACAGTTTTTTGCCGGTACGAATAAAGTATTGTGTGTTAATCCATTTTCTGCCAGTGTGACTTCCAGTAAGTCGTGTTTTCTTATTTTCTGTATGTAGCAAATTTTAATGTTGGTGGTGGGATCTATTATCATTAAAAGAGTACAACAGTTAATGTCTGATAGCTGCTCTAGTTTCAAACTTGCAATAGCCATGGTAACCACTGCTGTCAAGTCAACCTGACAGCATGTAGACCAGGTGAATCAGTCGAGCCTCTTACCTCCTTTTCTTTGTTAGAAATGTTTGTTTTTGAGTCTTCCGGTCCTGTTTCCACCTTAACCTGTAATGCTGCATCTGGCACTGAACACAAAGCACAGAAACATAGACACACACACAGCAGGCTTATGACACAAGAACTGTAAGAGAATGTAGACATTTGAAGAGCAGTATAAGATACTATTTACCTGCAAGGTGAGCAGCATAAGTCCAGAGAAACGGGTTTTTGTTCATACAGGACTCACAGATCATCTCCTGCAACTCCACGCAGTCTGGTACCACACAGCCCAGATGCTGTGTTCACACAAACACACGTAAAGGTACAGGTGCAACACTGATATGCTACAGATGTTTGGTGTCACCTGGCAGTTACCTGTGTGTTGCTGGACTTACCCTGCCATGCAGCCAGTCTTCACACACCACACATTGAATCATCTCATCCTCCACCTGGAGACACAAACCAGCCAACAATAGATGGACACAGCTTTAGGTAAACCAGAGACCACAACAATTTATTCAATTATTTAAAAAAATAAAAAAAATTATATATATATATATATATATATATATTTCATATTCATACCTCATCGTGAGGTGAATACCTTACAAAATTACACAATGAAATCCTACAAATCCAATGTTTCCTTTGAATTCCTTTTGAGCAAGCACTTGACAACAACCTTTACAACACACAGTGAGGTTCAGATGCGTGTCTCACCTGGTCATCTGGGTCTGGATAAGGCCGGCTGCAGGTGCAGTAAACTCCGAAGAAGTTATGACTGTATTTATTCAGATTGTTGACCTCGTCTTTCTCCTGAAACAAACATGCATGCACATGTGAACCCACACCCACATAGTATCTTAAGCCTCAGTCACAGCCTTGTCTGCGTCCAAAATATGCGCAAAATGGTATGTGCCACGCAAGTCGGTCTTGCAAAATTTCGAGGTCGCAGACAGCCCGTAAGTACATAGGGAGGATCTTTGACATGTAAAAAGATTCTACGAATTCTCTGCGAACAGCGACGCAGCAAGTGTCACTTGCTCCCCCCACAAGGAGTTTGCGAGTGAGACGTGCAAATTTTTAAGGCACCGTGGGAAGAAAATCCGTGGTCTAAGGCGCACATCGCACACAATGAGGGAGCAAGTGCCCCGTGTGTGTTAAGCATGGCGCACACACTCACAACTCATGAACAAAACTGAACGCACGGTGGCCGTGCATCACCCCATGCCCTGAGTATAAAAGGCACGCTCATGGTGCACGCTCACGTTTCGCCAGTGATCGGCAATTGCATTATTGCTTCAAACAAATAATGAACATACCAAATTATAATCAGATTTGTGCTGCTTTAAGTAAATCTACCTTTCCAAATGAGTTCATTTTAATGTCTGAAGCAGTGGCAGGATTTTCTACAAATCCATGTGAGAAGATTAGAGACAAAAGCAGGAGCGTAACAAAGTCAGATTACTAAACTGTATTAATCTAATAAAATAAAAGAAACATTAAAAAAGAAATAATTTTGTCTTTGTGTTATTTCAAAAGCCTTTTATACAGATGTGCAGTTCAAGACCCTGGACAGCACAGCGCTACCTGGTGAGGCTGCATGTCTCAGCGCAAGGGTCGTTTCTTCTGTCACTGCCTCAGTATGAATGGATGAAAGCACAGCATCTCGCACTCATTATTCATCATCAATGGCACAGTGGCCAAATGTTTTCACACTCACAGAATACAAGCAGCGTTTTCTTACATTTCAGACACACAAGCACGACTGTTGCCTTCATTGCTGATGCACAGATCTCACACTATATTGGGACATAACGTTAATGTTTTTAAGAGGTAATCAAAGTCGAAAAATCGAAGTGTCTCTGTTGGAGGAGCAGGTCGGCTCAATGGAGATGCTGCTGGCCCGTATCAGCTGGAAGTCAGTACTGGGGCTGACAGTGACACTGCAGGCGAGCTGTCACCGCCAAGTTGTCAGGATCTGTGTGTGTGCTACACAAAACATGAAATCATATTTATTTTCATCAGCATTTGTTATAAAGTTTTAACTGTTGTCCTGAAATCAATTTGTATCGTCTGGGATCTTTTTTTTATCGCTTGGGGATGACGGGACGTCCCTAAGCCTAAACCCTGTCGATATGGTAATAGAATTTACAAGAGAGCATATCACCTTGATCGCCAAAGAGTCTCTAATTTTTTTTGTTTTTGTTTTGTTTTTTGAAAGTCACACCAAACTGACGTACACCGTCAGTACATTATCACGAACGCGTGAAGTAGGTGTTTTCCCGTGCGTTCCATTCTCTTCATAAGTTGTGAGTGTGTGCCATGTACGCAGGTGGCAAGACAAATTCTAGAAGCTAGTACAATTTCTACAGCAGTCGCACATTGCACTTGAACGGACATCTCACGTGCGACTCGCAAGGCACGCTTGCTCCTCTCTTGCGCATTTCTGACGGAGCCCTTGCAGCCTTTCCTATACCTCTACGACCTCCATGGGACCCAAAATTTGCAGAGGACGTACGATCCCAAAAGTCGTACATCTGGTTGTGACCGAGGCCTTAGCCAGTCTTGTAAGAACCAGTTAACATGAGTTTGGGAGTGAATCAGTTGCTTTTTATTTAATCTAATTTAACACCAGAACTCACTGGATGGAGTTTACACTGCAGCTCTTTGAACTTCCTGTTTCCACAGTCACAACGAAAGTTTCTAAAGAAAACACAGGAAAAAAAACAAAACCAGACAACAGCAGAACATTGTAACAGGGAATAATAAACAAAAAGAAAACGGAGGTTACAACTTAACATCCTATTTGTTAACATAAATTTTCATCACATGTGAAAACTGCTGACATCCTTTATTAGATAACACAATGAATCTGAATGAATGTTTTTATTAAGCCTACCTTTTATAAACCAATCAGTTGTTTTAATAACAGATTATGTGATTAATTCATCTCCAAGGCTGCAGTGACAGACTGATATTACATTATGATACATTATTGTCCTTCTAAGGTCACTAATTTCACGCCTGAAACTCATCTCTGTGTATCAAATTGACATATTTAGAAGGTTTTTCCATGAAAACAATCCCTTCATGCCCTACAGTGACTTAGATGCAACTACGCCATTTCCTCTTTCAGAATATATAGCCTCCCTCTCCATCCCTCGGTCACTGCAGCTGGAGCATACCAGCTTACCTATGACCGAAAAATATCTCTACGCTACTCAAAGTTGCAATATTGTAGTAATTTAGCCATATGTGCTTCAGCTGGAAACTGATTCAGTATAATAATTATAACACGGAAAGCACTAGGGCTGGACCCTAATATCCGAATATCCGTTCGTTGTGGTGGTATCCGGATAGCAATTTTGATATCGGAATATTTTGATAGTACACAACGACCGTTCATCACTCTGTCAGCTTGTTATTAATATCAATGTTAATTCAGATGCTAAAGGTAAGTTTTGATTATCCATGAATCTAACAGTGTAGATAAAATGAACGCAGGGCTTTAACATTGGATGGAAATCACAATATGGGTGGAAATGAGCTGCTTGGTGGAGGTCTGCAGTCTCTTGAGTGATTTTCTAGTTTTGTATGAAACTCTGAAGGCCTGAATCTATGTTTTTTGAGGCACTGGAACACTGCAGTTTGAAAATGTTCAGTTTAGCATATAAAAACACATGGACATGTTAACAAGATAAGCATCAGGTCATCTGCAAACACTGACAAAAAATCCTAAGAGAAGTATTAGGGTGACTCATTGATAAATACTGTATTGAGTGTTCACCTTTTGGTGTAGAGTTCAAATAAGTCATGACCTTCATGACATTTGTATGAACAGGCCAAACACACTCCTGCTGCCTCTACTCCTTTTGGTGTGCAGGTGTTACAGGCATACAGAGCCTGTCGCTTCACATAGCCCTGAAACAAAAACATCAATACATAATCAAATATAAACAAATAGTAGCTCAAATACAAATATCCATTATCCATCATCTATACACCGCTTAATCCCCACTAGGGTCGCGGGGGAGCTGGAGCCTATCCCAGCTGATTTAGGGCGAAGGCAGGGGACACCCTGGACAGGTTGCCAATCTCACACAGGGCTACACAGACAACAAGCACACTCACATTCACACCTACAGACAATTTAGAATCACCAATTAACCTCAACATGTTTTTGGACTGTGGAAGGAAGCCGGAGAAGCCACGATGCACAGGGAGAACATGCAAACTCCACGCAGAAAGCGTCCTAACCGGGATGCCGCCCAGGGATCTTCCAGCTGCAAGGCGATGGTGCTAACCATCGAGCCACCATGCAGCCTATGTATATACTTACCAATACTAAATTAATTATGAACCTAAAAGTTCAAATACAAATATATAATCAAATATACTTGATTCGATTTAATCAATTCATCAGAAACGTCTTTGACTAATTCAACCTGCAGCCCTTGTTTGCCTATTATAAACAGAAATACAACTCAACATCCAGCAGAACCTTGGTCACTAAGTACCACTTCCCAAAACAAATATTGCTGGATTTATGCCATGATTTAGGCCCTATATTGGGAGACACAAGAATAATGTAAGCCATCCCAGTGCATATCCAACTCCTGTCCAACCTGGGAAGTTTGACCCCCGGCACATTCCAGCATGAAGTTGGAGACACATGCGGCATTTTCCAGACATCACTGAGCAGGATCATGCCGGCAAAGTTGGATGCCATAATTTCCTTGGCCCGTGCCTACATCCAGGTCCATTACAGCCATCACCAACAAGACGAAATCAAACAGGGACTGTTGGTTATCCCAACACTTAATGCACCAAATAGTTTCTGATTAGCTTCAACCTTACTGACAAGTACCTCAATTTCAGTGTCCAAAAACTTCTTTTTTACCCTCTTTGCCATGATGATGAAAGGTGAAGACAAATAATTCACTTGCATTATAAAGGGGCGTGCTGTTACAGAATATGTTTAATTAGAGGCGTTTCTGAAGGCAAATGATCCCTAAAGTGCACGAGCATGGTGGTTAAGAACTAGTGGGATTTATTAACGCTGATGACTTACTGATGTACATATGACCCATGTGTGCATGTTTGATAAATATGGATTTTTTTGTACTTATGCACATTCTACATTTCATTTGTAAGACAGAATTTAGAATGCTTCCTACACATTGTTGATAAACAAGGCCCCTGGACAGGTAGAGAGGGGACTATGTTATATTCGTAGAATTTAGTTCAGCTTTCAGTACAATCATATCCGCCAAACTCTACATCAGGTTGTCCAGTCTGGGTCTGAGCACCTCCCAGTGTGATTGGATTCTGGATTTCATGTCCACTAGAATCCAAGTGGTCCAGGTGGGCGACACATTTCCAGCCTCTGCACCCTGAACACTGGATGCCCCAGGGTTGTTCCTTCAGCCCTCTGCTCTTCTCCCTTTACACACATAACTGTGGAGCTACAAACAGCTCTAAGGACAATCTGAAATTTGCAGATGACACGGTCGTGGTTGGATGCATCAGTAACAATATTAAGTGGACATGTACAGAGAAGGTTGCCAGTCTGTCAGACTAGTGTCAGACTTACAGCCTGCTGAACGTCAGTAAAACCAAGGAGCTGATTGTGGACTTTGGTAGAAGCCAGCAGAGGAATTATACTCTACTGAGGATTAATGAATATTTTATGAAGTCAGTGTGCAGCTTCAGGTACATGGGACTGCACTTCTCTGAGGATCTGTCATGGACCAAACACACAGACAACCAGAGGAAGAGGGCAAAGCAGCACCTTTATCACTTCAGACAGCTGAGCAATTTCATAGTCTCTCTGAAGGTCCTAAGGACTTTTTAGAATGAAGTGGTATTGTATTTAGATGGACTTGGAGAACTGTTCGTTTGTGGTGTTGTATTTTTGTCCTTTGGGACTTCAGTTTGTCTTGGTGGTGAACTTGTTTCTTCAATTAAATTATAAAATATTGTTCCATTAAAACTACCAAAAGATAAAGTAAAGACAAGACTAAAACAATTGTAACTCAGTGGTATCTGGCTATTTACAGAGATTGAATTTCAAGCATCTCACTCTGGAATTGAACCAATCCATGTAGTCACTGTTTTTATTAATTTATAATTTACTTTAATTATACTGAAACATCTTTTTCCAGAAGCAGAGACATATTTACGCTGGACAATCCGCATTTAAAAAACAATCTGCAGTCGTCATTTGAACTACATTCTACTGAAAACTTCTGTACTTTATTGAACCTTCTGAAGAAATATTTTTACTGTCTACAGTAGGGCCCGACCAATATGATTTTTTTTTTGGCTGATGCCGATTCTGATATTTGGCAGAAAAAAATTCCGATAACCAATTAATCGACTGACTAATTTTAAAAAAAATATAATGAATAAAATTGCTTCTTTTTTGGTCCCTTAACGCTTATAACAACAAAGACATGAATTACAGGCAGAACATTTTACTGTTTTACAAAACTTTGTCCTTTAGTATTTGTTTAACTTTACAACAAAGAGGAATTTTCAAGCACAAAGACATGCAACAAAGCATTAATTATCAGTTTTTAAAAAATGTGTCTGTAATGTGGGTTTTTTTTATTTTAAATTTGTATTGTGCATTTTCTTTCTGTGGAGCGTGCATGAATATAGCTACCAGTAGTACTGATGAATTTATCGTTAGATTTAGGCCATAGGTGTATGCTGTATATAAGCAACATAATGAGTAAAGTTACTGACAAAACATTATTTGTGCAGCCCTCTGATGCCCTTTAACGTTTAATTTTGTCTTCATTTTGTCTATTCCACTATTTTCTTTGCCATGAAGTCATGACTCATATGAATCAAAATAAAAACCAAAGACGCCTTTCTCAGATGTCCAAACACGTCAACTGTGACAGAGTTGCATTTTAAATATATAATGGTCACAAACAGTCCAACACTAATGTTACTCCATAACAACACACACAGTGAGTGCTGTTAAAGCCTGTGTCACGCCATAGGATCTTCTGACAAAGTAAAACCAAGAGTGACATGACATCATGACGGTTGCTGAAGACAGACAGTAATGTTAATCATTTTAACTTTTCAGGTCTGCACTGAGTAAACCCCCTCCCCTCTGCGTTTGCATTAGTCCTCCTTAAATGCATCTCAACACGCAGCTGTGATGAACAGTCATTCTGTACTCTCAAATATTTTGTACATTTACATTATTTCTGCAGCTACTTACTGGCTTTTATGATGTTAGCTAACACTATGCTAGGTTGGCATAACTACATGATATTGCTAACATAAACAGATATGAAGTAACTTAAGCTTAACAAGTTTAGCATCCATCCATTATCTATACACCGCTTAATCGTCACTAGGGACGCGGGGGGCTGGAGCCTATCCCAGCCGACTTGGGGCGAAGGCAGGGGACACCCTGGACAGCTCGCCAGTCACGGCTACACTTAAGAGACAGACAACCAAGCACACTGACATTCACACCTATGGACTATTTAGAATCACCAATTAACCTCAACATGTTTTTGGATTTGTGGGAGGAAGCCGGAGAACCCGGAGAGAACCCACGCTGCACGGGGAGAACATGCAAACTCCACGCAGAAAGATCCTGGTGCCCCCACTGGGACGCGAACCGGCAACCTTCTTGCTGCGAGGCAAAAGTGCTAACCAACTGCGCCACCTTGCAGCCCACAACTTTAGCAATGCAACATAAATGAAAAGAATGACCATGACCACACACACACACACACACAGGCTGTTACATATCGGCACATTTTGAAGCAGTCATTACAGCAACAGAGTTAATATATGTGTACTGCGTGTGTAATGTCTACTGCATGTTTAAGTACACTGACCTGAGGATATGAGCAATGATCTGAGTCACTTCCTGCCAACACAGCTGAAGCCTCTTCCTCCAGCTCCTCATCCTCCTCCAGAACATCAACCAGAGACACTGTGTGCTCCTCACACATGTTTATCTTCTACTGACAAACAATTAAGATAAACAAGATACATCAGGATTACATAAGAGGACTGTTCCAGAAAGAATGTGATGGAGAAAATGCAATATGTTTTTATACTTTGTCCTGATTTGGTGCCACGGTCTGTTTACACTTCTAGTGCTGCAGCTAATGGAACAGATATTAGAAAATTGACTATTCTATTGGCATTTATTACATAGATTATTCAATCACTAACATCAACTTCACTTTGATTTGGCTAAATGCTAAAGTGACATTCTTAATTATGAGACAGTGTCAGACCTGTCCCATGTTTTATATTATATGAAGTTGAAAGTTTAATCTGCAACTGTAATGTTATCCAATTCCTAACCTTATTTAGAAATAAGACGCTGCATTGATTGGTAAAAGAAATATATCAACACACATTTAACAGTTGTCTACTAGCATTCTTTTCTTAATAGCAGCACTTTTTATCCTAATCTTTATCCATCCATCCATTATCTATACACTGCTCAATCCTCACTAGGGACGCGGGGGGCTGGAGCCCATCCCAGTCGACCCAGGGCGAAGGCAGGAGACACCCTGGACAGGCCGCCTCCTAATCTTTATATTCAATTAAAACAACCTGTTGACTCGGTCCATTGTGGGCAGAAAAAGAGTCACATGACATGTTAAGAAAGTTTATATCTACCATTGTAATACCTGTTACCCCTAACTGGGAACTCATATTTTGTCAAGCCTGCTTACACAAAGAAAGCCTAGCTATGTCAAACTTGCTTCATTGTACACCTCCCTGACTTGACATTTGAATCAATGAGGAATTGTGAATCAGCAAATTTCTGTTTACAGCACAGCAGAAATGTAAGATCTGGATCAGGGACAAGAGTCACACTGTACATGTTATTCTGTGTATCGTTCACCGATCTGTCATTTAGTAGACTGGAATATTCATCGTGGAACATAAAGTTCTTAAATTTGTTTATTTACAGACCTGTAGGTACGACCTCATTGTCCTAATAATAATAATAATAATAATAATAATTATTATTATTATTAATATTATCATTATTTTGGAGATCTGCAAAAGCTTTAGTGAAATATTGTATTGTGTATTGTTATAACATTATTATTTTTGACAGGATGGGGACATCAATAGCTGTCCTCAGCCCAATGATTACTGATCGATCACAGTCTGGTAGTTTTATATGCAATGATGAAAGTAGAGTCGTTGAATGTTTGAGTACAGGTGAGCTGGTCGACGAAGACAGTAGTCTTAAAAGGCAGTATGAGGATAGGACACTGATCGATGTCTTTGTCCTTAAACACACAGTTTTAGTTAAATGTTTATAGACAAGCTGAATGTTCTGATCAACGGTCTGAGAATAATTTCTCAGTCTGGCATCCAGCTTCAATTCGCCTCTACAATTAACACGAATGCGCACCGTTCTGATGCTAACGCTGTTAGCTGTGAGAATAAAGACATAACTCACCAAGTTGACCAGAGACCTGACCGGATGCGGCTGAAAACTAATCGATAGCCTCTTCAATATTAGTAATCAGTAATCAGCTCTGTGTAATCGGAAAACTAATCAGGTCTTTGCGATCAAGCCGCTAACCATTACCTCAGTATGACGACGAGCTTTTTTTTCCTCCTCCGACTCCACTTCTTTAACTCCTCCTCCTTCTTCTTCTTCTGCTGGTTCTTCTTCTTCTTCTATTGAATGATTCGGCGGTTGGCATCCAACATTTAAGTGCATTACCGCCACCTACCGGACTGGAGTGTGGAGCAAGGCTGGCAAGACCAGCTAAAGAAATACCAAATGAATGAATGAGTCTAAATCCTTATTAGAAGTCCTGTGTTTTTAAGAAACTCAATTAGTCCTCTTAACATTTCTTTTTCTTTGAGTTTTTTCCTTTCATCTTCATATTGCTGACATTCTAGCAGCACATGCTGAGCTGTTTCCTTTTTGTCACAGTGCTGATGTAACGGATCTATTCGTGTGTGGATAGGGCATCAGGGAAGACAACTCGGTTCGCCGTTCTCCAGCATTTATTTCCTTGACTATGTGAAGCAACACTGTAGAAGAGATTAATGACACATTAATCTTCTTCTGTTCCCTTTTTACACGTGCACTCTGCTCCCTCAGCAATGCGGGGCAGCACTGTGTAACAATGAAAAATATTTTAAAACTACGTTTTTAACAATACTCTTCTTAACAATCAGAGCAAATCTCATACAATGCCACCTGGTGGCCATATTAACACAGTGTAGTGGGGTGGAGTGACTAAACAGAGATAAAACGTATAACTTAAAATAAAAACACATACCTGTAGAAGAGATTAATGACACATTAATCTTCTTCTGTTCCCTTTTTACACGTGCACTCTGCTCCCTCAGCAATGCGGGGCAGCACTGTGAGGGATCTACGGGAGAAGCTACGGAAGCCCAGGAGGAGCTACAGGAGCCCAGGAGGCTCAAGCAAGGCAGAGTGCAGAAGGGCAATTCTGAAGGCAAAATCATTAAAACAATCGCAAATAAAAATGACTCATTAAGATAAAATTCACAAATANTGTTGGATGGATTGGTATCTAAGTTTCTCTTTTTATTGTACTCTTCCAGATGGGTTAGCAACAGACTTTTGTAGTCGCTTGTCAGGAACGTTAATGCGCCGAATTTATCAATTTCCCACCAGTGCTTAGTCACAAAAGCGTGTTCTAGGCAAAAAAAAAAAATCAGCATATCAGAATCAAAACAGCAGAAATGTAGTTGAAAGCACAGAACGGAACGTGGTTTAATAAATAGAGAAGAATAATATAGAATGGAAAGAGTGCGGAGATGGATCTGTGAGCACAGCTAGTTAGTTCCAAATGCATCAATGGGCACCTCCTCTTGACTCAGGCGGTAAATTAAGGGGCAGGGCCCATTTTCCTCAGTGGGAGCCTTAACAGGAATTCTCTCATGCGTGGAACTCGGTGGCCTGATGGGTTTTCAGCCTCAAACTGTCAAAGCATGTTGGGGTGGGCTGAGAGGGGAGGCGACCTTTATCTGTGCAATGCAAATTGAACGGGGAGGAAATGTACATGTGCACTGGAAAACTGACCCTTTTTTCCTCTGTCATAGGAAGAAAAAAAAAAAAGAAGCATTTGCGTGTATTAGTGCATGCATGTGTGTGTTATTGGATGTTTCTGGGTGAGTTCGGGTGAAATTGCTCGGACGGTGAAGTGACAAAGGTTTCTGCTGCAGAGGTCGAGCAAATATTCTATTATTGAGTGTGGCGTAAAAGAGAAAGGGGGAAGTCCGTTTTTCAAATCTAAAGACAATCACCGGCTTTGTTTTTTAGTCAAACGCCACGCAACAATGCCATTCCACTGGACAAGAACTATCACAGTCGGCTACAAAAGCACACTCAAGGTTTAAGTAATTGCATAATGCCCGAATAATATAATAATGTGCATAAGAAAAATCACACAGAATTTGATTGTGCTTCTCTTATGATTACCAGTGGCAGTAAATTTATCTAACAGCTGGGAACCGTTGAATGAAACCTGCAAGGACTCATTTGTGTTGAATATCAATTCAATGCTCAAATGCATTTCTGAAAGTAGGGGCAATTAACAGGCTAATTATCAGGACCGTGGAGAACATTCTAATCAGGGGAAAGAGCTTAAGTGAAATAGTGTTGTCAACGCCGGCTGAGTGGTGAGCGGGAGAGGGAAATGTCTTTGACTGTTGCAACCACGACTTGACCTTTGTCAAAAACTTGTGAAAGTGATTAAGTTACTTTGGAACGCAATGAGTCCTGCATAAATCACGGCACGAAACGATGATTAGAGTTTCAGAAAGCGTGTCCTATTTGTTCCTCAAAAGCCGACACGCGAGAACTGCAGTCGATACGTGTAGGCACAATTGCTACAGCAGCGTATCGGTTAACTTTTGCACATTGTTTGCTTGAAAATAGAATTATGAGCCTCAATTCCCTCCAAAATCTGACATAAGTCAAACTTCTGGCGACACCATAGCTTGCTAACAACAGGAAGAAAGAAGCATGCATTTGATGTATAGTTAGACTGTAAACAGGTTTCAATAGAGGATACAATAAAATTTGGATCACTGCATTGATTAGCATCTAGTTCCCTGGTCTCCCTGTAACAGCACCCACCATCTCTCATTAACTGTGTTCACTTCTTTTGATCTCCTGCCAAATGATACTGGGGCAAGGTGAAGAGTTGAGTTTGGGGTGGAGATTGCATCTATTAAGACTTGAATGAAAACACTTGACCATTTCTGGCAGAGCACCGTGACTAAATAAATATAAAAGCGGGACCCAAAGGGAAGATGGAAATTTTTTTTTTTTTTTACCATCCAACAGGCTCCATTCTGAGCCTATGGAATATATAGAAGCCCTATGTAAACGGTGTCTCATGAGGACAAACAGTGAAATATTGCATATTTAAACCCCAGAACGATTCATTTATGCATTTATACATCTTGTCTACGGGGTAGCTATATTGCCGTAGCCACTCGAGGAGAAATATACCAGGCAGCTGGCGGTAACCCACTGCATCGAGCTGTAAATTTATTTAGGCCTGATGGACTCGACTGTGTTTTGTCCCCAATTTACCTTCTCTGATTTTCAAAACAGCCACGAGCCCTGGAGAAATAGTTAAACATGAGCATTGGTTTTATGCAATGTACTCTCTATTCATTTTGCTTCGCAAACATGAGTAGCCAGCTATCAGATGTCAACATCCATCTCTTCATTATGTCATTATCAACCCTGTGTGAGTTGCTCCCTGCAGCTGCCTGGAATTACATTGTCGGCCCAAACAAAACACACAACATTTAATATGGAGGACAACTGAGACGTATGTTTGAGGCGTTTTTTGCCGTATTTCAAAATGAATGAAATGAACGAAATGGAACAACAAATAGGGGCTGCATGAAATCTAGTTTGTCAAGCATATAAAAAGTAACATAAAAGATATACATATGGATGATTAGAAGTTTCTTTCAAGCAGTCAATAATGAGATATGTTTACGCCCAAGTGACAAAGCCACCTATTGGGTATAGTTCACCATTCAGCCACATGAAAGCCACTGACAGGTGAAGTGAACTGACATTGATCATCTCTACTGTCTACCTTAAGTCCTGGCATTCACCTGGATGTTACTTCAACTTGTACCACTAAGGTAATAACTGCAGTGTTGTGGTGACAAAAGTTCACCATCAAACATCAAACGAGGTTATCTTATCAGTTCAGATAACAAGATTCTTCCATGTACTGCATCGACAAACAGCTTGTTTTCTCTTTTAATTTGGAGAACTTAAAACCTGGTAAAAAACCCTTTGAATGAAAACTGATAAGAGCACGTTTTGTGGATTTGGGAGTGTAATTGTGGAATAGAATGGGCTTTGGCAAATGCAAATGACAATCATGCTTAATCTTAAAGCGCTTTAAGCACCACAAACAAAGTCTCACACAGCCCCCATTGTGTTGGAGGTGAAGGCAGACGTTTAAAAGAGGGGCCGTCTCAAAACCTGGACCTACTTTCATTACAGGTACATTTTTCCATTTCCACACCTACATCTATGGCAGCAAAATCTATGAACACAGACTCTACAATATTCTCTTTTCTCTTCATTTCTTTTTTCATGATGCTGTCTATAAGTAAGCAGCATATGGATGAGAGGTCGTTGGGAGCATTGTTTAAAATGTCATCCATATGCATGTACTTTTCCTTTTCATATGAAACCAAAGCCTTTCACCCAAATACACTGAAATGCTTTTAAATACACAACTGAACCACACAAACAACTGAAACATGGAATGCTCACATACAGAGCTGAACAACTCCCACGTGTGAAAAGCTTTCTCGCACATGCGAGTAAAATGTGCTCATATTTGCATGTCCAAACCTGAAAAAGCGTGATCTGAATATCATCCAGGTCTAACTTCCCGTATAGATCAGCCTGATATATTTATAGAATGGCCATCATTTCCAACCTTAACTATTAATGGACCAACGTTCATTTCAACCCCCATCTGATTAGGACACTGTCATATGCCTCCTCTATGTGCCCGCCAAAATATGAAGCAGCAGTGGGGTAATCAGGTGCTTCCTTAACAAACTTAACGATTCTGATTCCAATTTCGATTCTGCTCCTAAAAGTCTTACAATAAGCAAGAGTAAAGTTCCTTCTTCTGTCTGTAAAATGCCTTGATAAACATAATATATATTGAAAGTCTGTGTGTTGTGTTTGCTGCTACAGAATAATGAGCCGCTGTTCATGCATTGTTATGACGATGTTCTCCGGTATTCTTCACAAAAAAAGTTCTGTAAGGCACAACATACCATGGATAGTGTATTGCTGCTCAGATTAAACAAAAGCTGTCCAAGTATACGTCTTGAAAACTCAACAGAAGACTGTGTCATGGTGGTCTGTTGTCAGCTAAACTCTGACAATGCTCTTTGCTTTCCAACAGGAAGCTGCCCAGTCAGAACGATGGATGACTACAGCATTAAATACACATGATGTGCTTTCTTCCATTGTAATAAACAGTTAGAGGCTTCACCTGATGGTGCAGCTAG